GGTGGACCCCTTGCGGTCTCTTTGTGTTCCTTTCTCTGATTTGTTTCTTCTAGTTAATTATTTTTTTTTCTTTTCTCCTTTTATGTTTACTCTTCTATCCAAGGGTTTAGGGTTTAGGGTTTAGGGTTTAGGGTTTAGGGTTTAGGGTTTAGGGTTTACAGTGAAGATGAATTCTCTCTCCTTTCTTCAGCTGGAGGCCGTTAGGCAGGCTGCTACAAAAGTCAGCAAACCCTAAACCCTAAACCCTAAACCCTAAACCCTAGACTCTTTGCATGTATTTATTTCTTTTTATTTATTTTTGTTGCGTTGGTTTTTATGTGTTGGGTTTGTTGTCCCTATGTTACTTGTTTAGGGTTTAGGGTTTAGGGTTTACGCGTGTTAGGGTTTGCGAGGGTTTGTTAGGGTTTGTTAGTGTGTTTTAGGGTTTAGGGTTTAGAGTGTATATGGATCTGCTGCATTTACTAGGGTTTGTTAAGACTTGTAACCGCCAAGGGTTTAGGGTTTAGGGTTTAGGGTTTAGGGTTTAGGGTTTAGGGGTGTGTATGGGGCCTGCAGGCTCCAGAAGACCGCACGGTAGGCGGCACCACGTGAGGTGTACATACACCTCGTGGCTTTCTAAAGAAGAAATAAATCTTCGGTTTGTTAGGGTTTGCTAGGGTTTAGGGTTTAGGGTTTAGGGTTTAGGGTTTAGGGTTTAGGGTTTAGGGTTTAGGGTTTTGTTAGGGTGTATAGCTGAATAGGGTTCGCAGAAAGCCGTTGCTCACCCCTCCATTCGCAGACACATCATAAGGGTTTAGGGTTTAGGGTTTAGGGTTTGGGGTTTAGGGTTTAGGGTTTAGGGTTTAGGGTTTAGGTTTCTAGCAACGCAAAAATTCAATGAAACAAAACCGCATAAACCAAAAAAAAAAAACTAAAAACAAAACAAAACAAATAACCACAACAACAAAAACAACAAAAACAATAATAATAATAATAATAATTATATATATTCTATTTATTTTTAGGGTTTAGGGTTTAGGGTTTAGCGTAAAAAAAAAACCCTTCTAAACCCCCGCTTCAAGCCATTTATTTTTTTTCTTTTTTTTTCAATTTCTTTAATAAAACAAACCAAAACAAAAAGGAGTAAAACCGGCAGAAAAAAAACAAAAAAACTTTTTTTTTTTTTTTTTTTTTTTTTTTTT